AGTATTATCATCATCATGCCTTAGTTATTAGTTGTATTAATTCATGTATGTCGTTTTGCTACAACAACTGTGTGACACACAGTGGGGCAATTGGAGCAAATGTGTGTATTGACACTGAAAATATGTATGTAATCCATGCCTAATATATACGATAAATGTCGTACATTGTACGAAATGCTTCGTGATTTAGCACTACGAAATTGTTTCGTAATATATACGAAATTTTACGAAATATTTTAATGAAAATGGTTTGCTTAAATAATATTTCGTATTATGGACAAAATTTTCGTAAATATTACGAAAAAAGTAGTTATTTAGGATTTTTTTTCGTAAAATTAAGCATGAATTATGTTCAGAGTAGTATTCAGGTCGGAAAAATTGTAACAGATTGAACAACAAACTTTATTGAGTAGATCGAAAAGGGCGACTTTTTCATTATATAGTCCAAAGAATAATTATTCTTTGGACTTCTTTAGAAAGAAACAAAGAAGCTTTTCTGTTAAAACAGAGATAAGAAAAAGAGATAAGAGTCTAAAGAAGAAAGTTTTCTATTAGAAAAGAGACTTAAGAAGAGTCTAAAGAAAACACTTTTATTTATATAGCAATCTAAAGAGGGAAATTTTCTATTAGAGAAACGTCTAAGAAGATACTTTGTTTATTAGAATGGTTTCTAAAAAGAGATTTTTCTATTAGAAAAATGTCTAAAGAAATGTCTTTTTTATTATAAAACAGTCTAAAGAAGACTATCTTCTATTGGAAAAAGTCTAAACTAGGGACTTTTTTATTAGAAAAGTTTCTAAAGAAGAGACTTTTCTATTAATAAAAAGTCTAAATAGGGACTTAAAGAAGAAGCTTATATATGGGAAAGGAGAATGAATAAGAGTCTAAACCAGAAGTTTTTTATAAGAAAAGAGACTTAAGAAGAGTTTAAAGAAAATATTCTTAAAACAGTCTAAAGAAGACAATCATCTATTAGATAAAAGTCTAAACAAGTTAGTTTTTAAGAAGAGTCTAAAGAACGACGTTTCCATTATAAAAGTGTCTATAGAAAAAACTTATCTATTAGAAAATGTATTGAAGAAGATCGTAAGGAATCTTCTTTTCTATTAAAAATACAACAAAAAGAGTCTAAAGAAGATACTTTACAATCTACAGAAGATTCATTCTTCTTTGAAAACTGACATATATGTCCAAAACATGGAACAAGATATATTCTAAAGATCGCTAAGATGGTATATATCGGCTATAAATTCAAGATTACAAAGATGGTCCCACATTACAGAGATGGTCTTTTTTGAAACTAAAAGTCTAATAAACGTTTTCCATATCAAATATAGTTGAAGATTATCCACGGGATTTCCAGGACAACATGTTTGTATGAATCTATCGATAATGGATGAACTAATGTCTTTATTTCGCTCTCTCTCTCTCTCTCTATCCCTCTTTTTTTAATAATTGCTGATAACTTTGAGTCTTAAAGATCTGCAGAAAAGTTCCGCAGACAACTGAACATATCCGTTAAATGTTAAATCCATAAAGAATTTTATACAACCGTAATTCTAGGATTCCAACATATAAAGCATAACACTCTTGCTCGCCCATAACTTCAATGTTCCCGAACTATCATTACGATCGAATGTTTTATTATTTCACCTTTAAATTTATTCACTGATCCCATTGTGAATATGATATATTAATCTAAATCCTTGCAATGCAGAAATGTCCACCCAATATTTCTACCAAAGTCCCGATTGGTTAAAACTCATGTTCATCCATTAAACTTCCAACAACAACACATAATGTTATGAAGAACATTTCAGAGACTACACTGTACTGATCCGGCAATTAATATTACACAGTCGACTTAACAACCAAAGTAGAAACCATTAGACCTTCGCCTAAATCTGTAAAACATTTCAATGAATTGATTCATAATGTTCTTCAAGAAAGCTCCGCCAATAGCACTGATCTTTCAGTTAACACGAAAATATAATCCAAAAGACCTTTTTAGGTTCAATTCAGAAATTTCCACCTAATATCGTAGCCAATGTCGATCGCTTAAAACTACTGGTCAGATGATATGAGGAGATCAGACAGTGCTATCGCTAAATATCTTAGATAGTTTTGGGAATCCATAATAAGAATTGATTTAAAGTCTGTCAATGCCAGGTATGTATATGATCTCACCTAACGATCTCAACCACAAACAACTTTGCACTGATCGAGAAATAACAAGGATAAAGTCGACTCACGAAACCGAACTGATCTATCACTTAACCTGGCAACTAATTAACTAACACTTTTTATATTTAACGCGAAACCCCACTGTGCTAACTAACACCTCTGTACAAGCACTTTAACATCAAAGCTAAAAGCATCAAAGTTACAGTAGCAACATAGTTAATATCAACAATAATTGCTATTGCAGCTTTAGTAGTATTTTAGGCCTTTTGTTTTATTTTATTATTTGGTTTTTTTATAACTTTTTTTTCACTACAACTAATTAATCTGCAACTATATAGTAGATTCATATGTTTATGGGCAACATTCATTTCATTTAATGTTTTATTACTACAGGCGTTGTTGTTGCTATTATATTTATTATAAACAATATTTACAACAATTAACAGCAGCACTACTAGTACGTCGTCGACGAAATGGCTGTTAATTACAGTAGTTAACGGTTTTAGTTTTTTCCTATTTTTTAAACTCGTAACACGGTGTTGTTTGTTATAAAGTAAAGTTTGAAAGAGTTTTAATCAATTTTCCATTGTCGCAAATTTGTATTGGAGTGTATGTATGTGAGAAAATTTTTATTTGTTATAATAATTTTTCATAAATAATGGTGTTTTTTTAAATTAATTATTAATTAAGTTTAAATTAATGTATAATTTTTTTGTGTAAGTAACTTTATTAAGTTTAAATGTAAACGGTAACCTCTTGGGAATTTTAATTTATTATGAGATAATTGTGATTGTTTTAACACAATAACACAGTTTTTACGCTGATTGTTTGATGGAAGAAGTGTGTGTATATATGAGGGGAGGGATGTTTCATGATTAACACTCATAATAGTTAATACAGAACTTACATACGTGTTTGTAGGGATTGTTCTAGACAAGACATCCATAGAAAAAAGAGGTCATTTTTTATTTAAGAAATGAACACAGTGCATTCCTAAAGAAATTATAATAAAAGTTCAACATAATCATAGAACTGGGGTCTTCAATTATCATTCATAAATAACTACTCTATTGGATTCCTAAATATTTTCCTTCTTTTACAATTATGTAGTACAAAACGCGCACATTTTCTTCCTATTCGGAAGTATTTCCATAAGGCTATAAACTACAATGTGGACTGGACTATAGACTACAGACTAGACTATAGACTATAGACTAGCCTACTGACTAGACTATAGACTAGCCTACTGACTAGACTATAGACTAGACTATAGACTAGACTATAGACTAGCCTACTGACTACACTATAGACTAGACTATAGACTAGACTAGACTAGACTATAGACTAGACTATAGACTAGACTATAGACTAGACTATAGACTAGACTATAGACTAGACTATAGACTAGACTATAGACTAGTCTATAGACTAGACTATAGACTAGACTATAGACTAGACTATAGACTAGACTATAGACTAGACTATAGACTAGACTATAGACTAGACTATAGACTAGACTATAGACTAGACTATAGACTAGTCTATAGACTAGACTATAGACTAGACTATAGACTAGACTATAGACTAGACTATAGACTAGACTATAGACTAGACTATAGACTAGACTATAGACTAGACTATAGACTAGACTATAGACTAGACTATAGACTAGACTATAGACTAGACTATAGACTAGACTATAGACTAGACTATAGACTAGACTATAGACTAGACTATAGACTAGACTATAGACTAGACTATAGACTAGACTATAGACTAGACTATAGACTAGACTATAGACTAGACTATAGACTAGACTATAGACTAGACTATAGACTAGACTATAGACTAGACTATAGACTAGACTATAGACTAGACTATAGACTAGACTATAGACTAGACTATAGACTAGACTATAGACTAGACTATAGACTAGACTATAGACTAGACTATAGACTATAGACTAGACTATAGACTAGACTATAGACTAGACTATAGACTAGACTATAGACTAGACTATAGACTAGACTATAGACTAGACTATAGACTAGACTATAGACTAGACTATAGACTAGACTATAGACTAGACTATAGACTAGACTATAGACTAGACTATAGACTAGACTATAGACTAGACTATAGACTAGACTATAGACTAGACTATAGACTAGACTATAGACTAGACTATAGACTAGACTATAGACTAGACTATAGACTAGACTATAGACTAGACTATAGACTAGACTATAGACTAGACTATAGACTAGACTATAGACTAGACTATAGACTAGACTATAGACTAGACTATAGACTAGACTATAGACTAGACTATAGACTAGACTATAGACTAGACTATAGACTAGACTATAGACTAGACTATAGACTAGACTATAGACTAGACTATAGACTAGACTATAGACTAGACTATAGACTAGACTATAGACTAGACTATAGACTAGACTATAGACTAGACTATAGACTAGACTATAGACTAGACTATAGACTAGACTATAGACTAGACTATAGACTATAGGCTGGACTATTGACAAGACTATTGACTAGACTATAGACTAGACAAATGACTAGACTATAGACTAGACAATAGAGTAGACTATAATCTAGACTAAAGACTAGACTATAGGCTAGACAAGTCAAGACTATAGACTAGAGTATAGACTAGACTCTACTTTCTAAAATCCATTGTTTATCCTTATTTTTTTTAATTTCCTCCCCAGTGCCCCCATAATTTTTTATTATAACCCAATTTCCATCAAAAATACCCCGCCATATATGACATACAAAATATGATAACTTACCTTTAAACTATTATAAGGCCTCTCCACCTTCAATTTAGCCTTAATACCATCACGACTTTCTTGTTTTTCATCCGGTGGCAATGAAGTCATCGATAAAGAAGTTTTTATATTCGATGCCAAAACATTCGATAATGACGATGATGAATCATGATGATCAACACTAATGCTGCCGCCAATACCGCCAATGTTGCTATTGCTGCTGCTGCTATTATTATTGTTGCTATTGCCGACAAGACATTTGGAAAATTTATTACGTTTTTTCTTTAAAGATGTAGATGCATGTAATTGTATTGATTTATTTTCTGGTTTTTGAAGAGTTACAAATTGATTAGATGATAATGGTGTTGTTGTTGTTGCAGTTGTAGCACATACATTTGTTGCTAATGTTGTATCAGTTGCAATATTAGAATTGTAGGAAGTAGTTAGTGGTTCAGATGTAGAAGAATTCGTCGTCGTTGTTTCTTTAATTTGTGGTAATAGTTGTAGTGTTGATTCTTCTAAATCTTTGGACATGGCCGCTAAATCAGTCTCTTGGTTACTGTTAATTATTGCTGTAGTTGCAATTGTTGCAGTTGTGGTTGCAATTGTATTTTCATTTGTGTTATCATTATTTATTGCAGTAGGAGTTGTTTCTACTTGCTTTTCTTCATCTTTATTGCAATGAGTTTCGTTTGGAATTTCTTCAGTATTGTACGTTAAGGAATCCATTATGGAATTTCTTATTTAATAAAATTTTTCATTTAGTGTATTTTATTATTGCTTGGCATTCTTTTTTTTTCGTGTTTGCTGCTGCTTGTGCTAAGCTAAAATGAAAAGTAAGAAAAAGGAGAAAATATAAATTTCATAATTTAAACGGATATTACGTAATAAAATATGGTTGTTTGGTAAAACAGTAGCTACTTGAATTTTTAATTAGAATTTAGTGGTTTTTATAATCAAAGGAAGTGGTGCCTAAGGGAAAATACATAAGAACTTGTTTCGTTTTACAAGTGGCTTTTTGAAGCAACACCTTGAAAGTAATTTATGTTTGAATATAAATATTGTAATTAGTGAAGGACTAAGAAAGAATTTCAGTTGCATGATAGGCTTAGTTGTGTTCGTTATATAATTTAAATATGATAGTTTCTTATTTAATCAAAAGTAGTGTAGATAGACTAAACTAAATCAAATCTATGGACTATGGACTACATTATAGCCAAGACAATAGGCTATATACTAGACTACAGACTAGACTATAGTCTAGTCTTTAGTCTAGTCTACAGGCTAGTCTATATACTAGACTATACATTAGACTATAAACTTGACTATAGACTAGACTATTGACTATAGACTAGACAATAGACTAGACTATAGACTAGACTATAGACTAGACTATAGACTAGACTATAGACTTGACTATAGAGAGGACTACACTAAACTGTAGACTAGTCTATAGACTAGACTATAGACTAGACCATAGCCTAGACTATAGACTAGACTATAGATTAGACTAGACTAGATTATAGACTAGACTATAGACTAGACTATAGACTAGACTATAGACCAGACTATAGACTAGACTATAGACTAGACTATAGACTAGACTATAGACTAGACTATAGACTAGACTATAGACTAGACTAGACTATAGACTAGACTATAGACTAGACTAGACTATAGACTATACTATATACTAGACTATAGACTAGACTATAGACTAGACTATAGACTAGACTATAGACTAGACTATAGACTGGACTATAGACTAGACTATAGACTAGACTATAGACTGGACTATAGACTAGACTATAGACTAGACTATAGACTAGACTATAGACTAGACTATAGACTACACTATAGACTAGACTATAGACTAGACTATAGACTAGACTATAGACTTGACTATAGACTAGACTATAGACTAGACTATAGACTAGACTATAGACTAGACTATAGACTAGACTATAGACTAGACTATAGACTAGACTATAGACTAGACTATAGACTAGACTATAGACTAGACTATAGACTAGACTATAGACTAGACTATAGACTAGACTATAGACTAGACTATAGACTAGACTATAGACTAGACTATAGACTAGACTATAGACTAGACTATAGACTAGACTATAGACTAGACTATAGACTAGACTATAGACTAGACTATAGACTAGACTATAGACTAGACTATAGACTAGACTATAGACTAGACTATAGACTAGACTATAGACTAGACTATAGACTAGACTATAGACTAGACTAGACTAGACTAGACTAGACTAGACTAGACTAGACTATAGACTAGACTAGGCTAGGCTAGGCTAGGCTAGGCTAGGCTTGACTATACTATAGACTAGACTATAGACTAGACTATAGACTAGACTATAGACTAGACTATAGACTAGACTAGACTATAGACTAGACTAGACTATAGACTAGACTATAGACTAGACTATAGACTAGACTATAGACTAGACTATAGACTAGACTATAGACTAGACTATAGACTAGACTACAGACTAGAATATAGACTAGACTATAGACTAGACTATAGACTAGACTATAGACTAGACTATAGACTAGACTATAGACTAGACTATAGACTAGACTATAGACTAGACTATAGACTAGAATATAGACTAGACTATAGAGTAGACTATAGACTAGACTATAGAGTAGACTATAGACTAGACTATAGAGACTATAGACTAGATATAGAAATATACACTAGAATAGGCAGGCCTATAGACTAAGTAGACTATGGACTAGACTATATGCAATATACTAGTCTATGGACTAGACCATAGACTAAAGACTAGATCATAGGCTAGACTATAGCCCAGACTATAGACTAGACTATACATAGACAATATACTAAACCTTAGACTATGGACTGAACTATAGACAACATTATAGATCAGGCTATAGATTACACTAAAGATTAGACTATAGACTAGACTAAAGACTAGATCAAAGACTACACTGTATACTAGTCTTTAGAATATAATATCGACTACTGCTTGAATATAAAAGTTTTTTGATTCTACCGATTTTAATAAATGTTAAGATTGAAGTTCCTTATTGAAATTGTAGTTTATTTCTTTCTGTACAGGCTAAACAGTATACTAGACTACACTACAGACTATATTATCGGTTTCGCTTATCGTTAGCATTGCATTTTTCTACATCAAAATATTATCTAACACCCAAAAAATAACACTTTTCTTAAGACGCTTAAATAGTTTTTTACACTTTTTCATGAAGGTTTTTTCTTAATGTTTATATTTGTTTGTTAGTTTTTTTGAGCATTTCCTCTATTTTCTAGTAAATAAGTAAAATATCTCTTTCTTCTAGTTATGTATATGAATTTGATAGCCACAAAAACACTTTTTGAAATGTTTATGGTTTTAGAAACCCAAACACTCTAAAGTTATTAAATTACTACCATTGCCATCAACTATCGTCACATATTATCAACCAAAATGGCAATACTAGCATGGCAGCCATTCCATTGCCAACAGCGTCATCATCAACGTCATGGAACTCAAAGGTTTGTTGGTAAGTATCTGTCTGACTGTTGCTGCTAGTACTACTACTAAATGGTTAAGACACTGTGTTTAAACACTTATGACAAGCATTAAAAGGTTTTTAAACACAACAAACAACTACAAATAATGACAAACCAAGACCACCACCAAAACCCATTGATCCCTTCCTCTCCACACCACTACTACTTCTCCAGTGGGGAATTCATACAATTTCATGAATTAGAAACATTTATACGTTCGAAGTGTTTTTTTAAGAGAACATATTGAAAATAATCGTTTAAGCTCCCTTTAAAAACTTATTGTCCAAGAAGACCCTACCTAGTACTTACTCACTCTGCCGGCCTACACTTACAATTTAAAATATTGCTAAATTTTTATTGTTTTTTCATTAGCTTAAGAAGGGTTGGGTAGAATATTAAATAAAATTTACATGCCTGCAAATGTTTAACATTAAATTTGAATAATTTAAACGTTACAAAAGTGGGAAATTCTATTTGTGGCAAAATTACATTATGATAATTAAGCATAACACTTAAAATGCGTAGAGAATGATTATAATAAACTTAATTGGTCAGTTACAAAGGCGACGTAATAATGACAACAAATTTGGACTGTGTCTACAACAATGGGATGATTACTAATCGATTCAATTCAATTTGAACAGTAGCATATTTGATTTTATTCGATTTGAATTATCCATTTCTGAATCAAATCGTCCATTCTCCCTTAATTTGAATAGATTATTCCTTAATACTAATTCATATACCTACTTTTCGTTGACCTCCTCTCATTATCTCATCTTCATTGAGCAAAACTTAAAACATGTTGCAATTATCGTTTGACAAACTGTTATATCAAGTCGACCATAGTTGGTTGTCGGGTAGATAATCCCGCAACCGTTGTTTTTTTCTCTATTGTGTCTTCGTTAACGACGTTTTAAAACTTAAACAAAAACTTTAGCAACAAAAACAAAAGGTGAGGAAGAAAAACAAAACTTAGAAAAACTACAAAATTAAATGCAAATTTACCTTGGCTGCCTGACTGACTGACTGGCTGGCGGCTACCGTGTCTCAAGAAAATTTTAACAGACAACCAAACAATCAACCATGCAACCAATATTCCATTTACCCCAAGACTACAACAGAAAAAACAGTACTTTAAGTTTTAAATACGCTAAAGAGTAGACTATTGACTAGACTATCGACTAAACTACAAACTAGACTATAGAATAGACTTTAGATTTAACTATAGAATAGACTTTAGCCTAGACTATAGACTAGACTTTAGCATAGATTATAGACGATACGATAGACTAGACTATAGACAAGACTATAGACTAGACTATAGACTAGACTATAGACTAGACTATAGACTAGACTATAGACTAGACTATAGATAGACTAGACTAGACTATAGACTAGACTAGACTAGACTAGACTAGACTATAGACTAGACTATAGACTAGACTATAGACTAGACTATAGACTAGACCTATAGACTAGACTATAGACTAGACTATAGACTAGACTATAGACTAGACTATAGACTAGACTATAGACTAGACTATAGACTAGACTATAGACTAGACTATAGACTAGACTATAGACTAGACTATAGACTAGACTATAGACTAGACTATAGACTAGACTATAGACTAGACTATAGACTAGACTATAGACTAGACTATAGACTAGACTATAGACTAGACTATAGACTAGACTATAGACTAGACTATAGACTAGACTATAGACTAGACTATAGACTAGACTATAGACTAGACTATAGACTAGACTATAGACTAGACTATAGACTAGACTATAGACTAGACTATAGACTAGACTATAGACTAGACTATAGACTAGACTATAGACTAGACTATAGACTAGACTAGACTATAGACTAGACTATAGACTAGACTATAGACTATAGACTATTAGACTTAACTATAGACTAGACTATAGACTAGACTATAGACTAGACTATAGACTAGACTATAGATTAGACTATAGAATAGACTATAGACTAGACTATAGACTAGACTATAGACTAGAACTATAGACTAGACTATAGACTAGACTATAGACTAGACTATAGCCTAAACTATAGACTAGACTATAGACTAGACTATAGACTAGACTATAGCCTAGACTATAGACTAGACTATAGACTAGACTATAGACTAGACATAGACTAGACTAGACTATGACTAGACTAGACTATTGACTAGACTAGACTATAGACTAGACTATAGACTAGACTATAGACTAGA